TATAATTGCACCTATAATTGAAATTAAAATAACTGATCCAACGTGCAACTTTCGGACAATAAGTGTGACATTCCTGTAATTATTGAACAATATAGTTCATGCCACATTGACGGAAACCTCACCAGTACAAAAGAATTCTCTTATTGCTATATTTGTACAAAAACGCACAACCTTAAAATTTAAAATTCAAACTCAGCGTTGCCACCGCACGTTCCAAAACAATAACACATTTCTCATAGCATTTTTTCGGATTACATCTATATTTTAGTTGTCCTCTTATTACCGAGAAGTAAAAACAAGAACAAAATCTACTTCCATACCTGATGATGTCTGTAGGAACAGACGAAAGCTTGTAAAAATTAAAAAGACCTTATGAAACTGGAATTTATAAACGGGGATCATATCGTTCATATACAAGTTCGGGGTTGGTGAATCTTATTTATATTGTTTGCGAAGATGTATTCTCGCCATTTAAATCATTAAACTCTATATTTGTTTTATTGTATGAATGATTCATGAATTTATATATATATATATATATATATATATATATATATATTAACATAAAACTTTCCTTTTGGGAGGCATTTAAGCTAGCTCCTGCGCAGAGCTTTTTGTTGTACATTTGGCTTGGTCAGGAGTTCATGATTCTCTCTTTGCATATTCTCAGCATTGGAATCTCTCATGGCGGCTGTTGTAACTGGGTTTTCATTTGCACGGGACTTTCTTTTCCTCGATACAGCCTTCTCTTTTTTTATTGCAATCTGGTCCTCTGTTGGCGGAGATTTTTATTTGCGACGCATACTTCTGCTGTATGCAATAGGCAACAATAAACTATAGAACTGAAATTTAATTTCTTTATTTAAGTATTGCATTAATATTTCAGCTTACCTTTTAAAATATCAACGATAATTCTTCTGTCGCCATTTAATATAAAGACAATTTGATGTACGCAATTCCGTGCTTTCCGTATAAACAATTATTTTTATTTCATATGTGACTTTCGCCGGATTTCGCAATTAATTTCGATTATTGCCAAAATGTATTTCCAAGTTATAAAAACTATTATCATACAAAAGAATTTGTCGCAAAAAATCGCATAAAAAATATCGCCGAAAACAATCGCAATAATGAAAATTTGGGAGTCCAAACTTTCAGTATTGCAGATCCGGCCCTGATTTTAAATTTGCTCACGGGGTCAGCCTGATTCGAAAAATGCATTATATGTTAGTCTACGGTCTTTAGGAGTACAGTTGAAAAAGGATTGGCGCAATGGTACACTAAAATTCACATTTATATAGAAAATGAGATATTTAAAGGTTATAGAGTTGTATCTCTTTAATTAAAAAGTGTGATTCCACAAACATTTTCGCATTTATTATACGGAAGGTGGAGATGAGATTTTTAAAAGTTCGAGAGTTGTGTCCACTTGATTGAAAAGACGTACACAGGAATTTTCTCATTTATATATAGAAGAAGTAGATATTTAAATGAAATATGTGTCCCTTTAATTATATCTATACATATATATATATATATATATATATATATATATATATATATATATATATATGTATATAAAACTGACTATGTGTGTGTGTATGTGTGTGTGTGTTCGCGAACTACTCGAGAACCATAAGGCATATTTCCACCAAATTTGGAACATTGATTGTACTCGATACTGAGTGTGTCTGGGCAAAAAAATAGTCATTTTTCAAAGATCAATAGCCGATAATCGATAAATATAATGTTTAAATGAGAATTTCCGTTAGTTTGATTATTTTTAAACTTTCAGACTTGAAGTCTAAATCCTAAGGCCGATTTTAATGAAACTTGATAAGTGTATACAACTTACTGTCACGCTTATTATACGCTATATTGATTTTCGTTTCTTTCGACACTGGGACCACCATGGTGCTTCAAAGGGATCCAAAAAAATTCGAATTGCTTCGATTTTGATGAAATTTTGCATGTTTGTTACGCTCTTACAATTTAGATAGAAATCGGTTGTCAGATTTTTTAAATGCATGAGGGGTCCCCCAGGATGACCCTATAAACCCCCTTGATGCCTCAATTGCTTTTCAAGTGTATTTTGTAGCAGTATTCTTTAATTTCAACGAGAATTTCAGTACATATTGAGATTATATCGAGTAACTGAAGTAGTCACTTGGAATTTACTGCAAATCAACACTGGGACCCCCACGAGGTAGGGGACCAGCAAGGAAACAACAAGTCTACAGCCTTAGCCATAAAGTCTATTAAATAGAAAACTTAAAAAGATGTGCTTTATTATTTCAATTACTATTAGTCTATTATGTCCTTTGGCTCGAGATTTTGGACCCCTAGGGTGAACCAAAGGGACCCCCAAATTTTCATATGGCCTCGATTTCGACGGAATATTACACGTATGTTACAATCTTAAAATGAATCAAAAACGATTATCAGATTTTGAAAACTACATAAGGGGCCCCCAAGATGACCCATGAACTCTTTGCTGCTCCATTAGTCTTTCAATTGTAGTAGTTAGCAGCATTCCGATGAAAATTTGCACATAATTTGTGTTTAGATGAATCAACTCAAAATCAAAACTGACAACCCATGTGTCATAAATACATTATGAAAAATATCAGTTTTTCCCTTGGATTTCCCGTTTTGGTACTGAAATAGTTTAGTTTGCATTAACTTGACGGCAAAAATTATATCCTTCATTAAGAAAAAAAGAATAAGTGCAAACGAAAGTGTGCACCGATGAGAGAAGTGCACGTAGGTATAAGACGCGTGTGCGAGATCGATCGAGATGTGTAGTTTGTACAATTGATTTTGCTCCACGTGCAATGATCGATCGAGTTATGTAGTGCCGATTTTGCTTCACGGTTAGTGTTCATTAGTGCTATGTGATGAAATAAATGCAAAAAATCTCATTCTCATCAAAGTTGTCATCCAGAAAAAAGGTAGGCTGCCATCATGAATGTATATTTTGAATTTTTGCTAATTTAAATTTAAATTTGTGAAAATCATATTATTAAAAAAGTTTAAGCGTAAATGCCAATTTTTAATTATGTATTTATCATCTTCTAATCAACGTTTAAATAACTTTACTAACACATATATTTGGAAACTTGAACCCTAAAATTTTGTCAGTTTTATTCTGAAAAATGCACTTATAATAATGTAAAGACCCTCTTTCGATTCAATTATAATTATGCTAAATTTAGCGTGTACGTTCTAACATTCATAGTGAGTAGGTTTCTAGCTGCACGTTAATTTTTATTTCTATCACTAGAACGTTTTCTTGGTAGTCTATTTTTAGATAAATCTTAATTTTTCGAGCATGCTTATAATTGTTTACCACGTTTCCGTGGTCTCCCTTATAAACTTACATTAAATTTATTGTGGCAATATTTCCATTAATGTGTATAATATTCTTGCTTTTTAATTGATTACTTCGTTGTTATTCAAAAAGCTTAGCCAAAACCCTCCAACTACAGCCTGACAGTAATGCCAAGAAAACGAAATCCTTCACTTGGACGTGCTACTACTACAGCCAAACGCATGAAAGCAAGGAGAAGAAACGCTTCGCAGCAAGAAACTCAAATTAGACTGACATAAAATGCTATTCGTACTGCTAATGCAAGGTCAGCAGAAACTAATCTTAACTAGACGAGGAAGGAACGCTGCCAGAACCACTGCTACTCGAGCTGTCGAAACTGAGGGGCAAAGAACAATTTTATACAGTCTTTGTGAACGTTGGTTTTTAGCCTTGGCACGGGTAATAGGAGAAGTCTTTATTGAATTTCTTCTCTTTCCAATGCATGTTGTTCATTCGATGTAGTTTGAGCAAAAGCTGTCAACAAAGCATTTCTCCTCAACAATTTTCGAAGATCAGTTGCGATTAATGTACTCTTCCTTTACTGACAATTTTTTTGTATCTTCTGTGCTTCTGTAAAAAACAACTTTCTCCTGTTATAAATGTTTTCACACTTCATGTCATAATTTTTCGCCATATAGATAAGAGGCACTAAAGAAAAATCTTCTTTATTTTAACTTTACAGATTGGATGAGGTTCGTGATCGATTTTGAATAAACCCAGGCAACGACAGGTAATGCTGCTAGTATATATATATATATATATATATATATATATATATATATATATATATATATATATATTTTCCGACTTTCGTAGAACTGACTAGCAACTATCAGTTATTAAAAGATAATTCTAGCACTTCTTTACTATATTTATCGAAACACACAGACACACACAGATATATATATATATATATATATATATATATATATATATAGATAGATAGATAGATAGATAGATAGATAGATGGTATCGTATGTGCCTGTTAGGCGTGTACAGACATTCATATATATATATATATTGTCATGATATGTAGTAAGTTTATCAGTTAAACAAAAGCCAACTCATGTCTAAGCGTACTTGATGTTTACTTGAAGCTTTCGCACTTCAGACAGATTTGACCAATAACCTCGATCGTCTAACACAGGAAGAAGTTTGGGACGTGAGCTGAACGAAAGAAATAACAGTAATCAGCGTTTTCATCACAATTAAAAGTAATTTTCTTTGTTTTATTTTCAGAACAGTGTATAAATTCAACAATAAAATACGATTATTTTCTTTCGCGAAAATTTTAAGGTTTGTCCACACATAAAAAAAAACCTGTCTCTCCCCTTTACACACACACGCGCCCATAGTCTCACTCACACAAACAATAATATATATATATATATATATATATATATATATATTGTGACGGACGCAGATAGCATAAACACGCATACACGCATATATTAAGGTTAATTTCCGCCTAGCAACAGAAAGAGGTCACGTGGAAGTCTTATGACATTTTGGGAAAGCAAGTCAAGAGGTTGACTGACCCAATTACCAGTAGCAACAAATGTCTAGACAGAAGCTAGTCAGGGGACTGATGTAAGCTGGAATTCGCGCCAAAACGCAAGACACGTGACAGTCAGAAATTTACTTGGGAGTCAGTTGCTGTCTTGACTTTGAAGGAGCAAGACCTGAAATCGAGGCGCTGATAATTTATGAACGGAAAGATAAGACTCATTTGATAATGATGGAACTTGTCCGATTCGTCCCAGGCAACTCCGGACAAGAAATATAAGAACAAGTATTCCTGTTCGATAACTTCAAATTGAAGACGCAGAGAAATTGGTACGCTGAGAATACAGCCTGCGTTTAAAGAAAAAGGAAAACCAGAGAGGAAGAAAGTATATATCTCTGTTACAAGTTGAATTGTGTAAAGAAAGAAAGAAAGAAAGAAAGAAAGAAGAAAACCCAAGAGAGGAAGAAAGTGTATATCCCTGTTGCAGTGAGTTGGGTTTGAAAACTGAGCTGTATACAGAAAAAGAAAGAAGGAAAGAAAAAAGGAAAAACAGAGAGAGGAAGAAAGTGTATATCTCTGTTACAGCCGGACAGTGTGTGAAATCGTATTTGTGTCAAGAAAAGAAAAGAAAGAACAATGATAAAAAAAGAGAACTGAATATAAAAGCTAATTAATCATATATTTTGGACCCGTATTAGAAAGATACACATACATCCATGAATATTATGTTCTTACAAACACCTTTCCACATGTCAAAATAATAATTGTAACTCCTATCCCATCTCTTTTGTGTATGCGTTGATTTCTGCATTCGTAATAATTCATACTTATATTTTTGTATGTTCGGGTTCAGTCGAATCCATTTGGAGTTAGGTGAATTTTGATATCCCAACGTAAGTCTTGAGATCTGGTTGTCGGATATTTTTACTCATGCTTATATTTTCTTTTATTTTAATATTTTGTATATTTGTACATATTAAAGTTCTTATATCAAAATTCGCTAAGCCTTATCGCTCATCCTTGAATTGTGGATCAGTATTCGTGTTGAAACCGAAACGAACCTGGGAAAAGATTACTGTTCGATTATCCTAATCAAACAATGTTCTTAAAATATATTTTTGTTTACCAATTGTCCATTGTCACGATCTGAGAGAGATAGCCTGTATCTCTCCACAGGTGTGAGAATGTATATATCTTCTGGTCGGCGTATGTTCGCCTTATAAACCCATTCGTCGACTAGGGCATATGAAAATATATATATATATATATATGTGTGTGTGTGTGTGTGTGTGTGTCACAAGTCATCGTAACCAAGGAATTGAGCGCGCTGGCCTTTTTCAGATTGTTGATCACGGTAGAAATCACGCTTTTCTCCTAGAAACTGTAACTAAGTCCCGCCCAGCATAGTTTCAGTATAGACCTTAGGTCGGTTCTGTGGGTGCTAAACAAACTCAAAATGCGCCTGTGCAAGTGTCTGCAATAGGGATTAACTAACTGCCCTAGTAGACCGGTATCCTCGAATACGAGTGGCCAGCCATTAACGATATATATATATATATATATATATATATATATATATATATATGTGTGTGTGTGTGTGTGTGTGTGTGTGTGTGTGTGTGTGTGTGTTGTGTGTGTTGCGTTTATTTAGGCAGCATGATTTCATAAAGACATCTCATTAAATAATATAGACAAGTTTTGTCTACGTTTTGTTAATATGATCCCCTCGTAATTACGGACAAGTTACTTAGTATCCTTATTAAAGAAAGAAACAAATTTACTATGTTGTAACTACAACGACTCCCATAACGCTGAGTATGCACTTGAACTCTTGCCAAGTGAGGGGACGACATTGCTACGAACAAAACTGGCCTCGAGAACAAAGTGCGTTTAGGCAAATACGTTCTGACTGCCAGGAAACGGCATTGATTCTCGCCAGAATGCACCGACATATTCAGATCCTCGCTGGATATTCGAAAATAAACCCGACATATTTTTTTTAACAATGCTAGACTACAGATTGTTTACTACTCGTTCTGAAGCACGTCTCACTTATTCAACCTTCGTTTCATTGTTTATTTAGACGAAATTTATCTCTAAGATAACTTTGACAGAGAAACAAGCACAGATATGAGTTATTATCTTTGAAATTTAAATCAACATAAATAAATGAAATAATAAACTGTAATTTCGATTTAAATAAAAAAAAAGACCACCCCAAAATAAAATATTTATTTATCGCACATCTAGTAGGATATATCATTAATCATTTTTCTCCAAGAAAGGCAATAAAGCCACTAAGACAAGGGTTGGGTTTGAAAGTATATGAGAGAAAGAAAAACATTATACGGAGATAGAACAATAAGAATTAAGAGATCAGAAGATAATGATTGATATTGCACTTAGATTTTTGACGATCACAGTTGACTGGAAAGCAAGATGTCAGAAAAAGGATCCACAAGAGAAAAGTGCAAGACAATACACTATTAGCATAGAATTTACGATTATATTTAGCCCTTTCCAATGTAAAATGATGAGACCGATGTGCCAATCTGGTACTGCGTTTGAATTCATAAAGTCCTGGTATCAATGAAGAAATCCAAAAAAATGCAAAGGGAAACTACGCTACAGCAGTGGAGGACGTGACCGAAGTCGAGATGCCAGTTTAGGACCGACAACATAGCAGATTCCTCTTTAGATTTTATCAAGAATCTCTAAATACAGAGCATAAACACCAGATCAGTTGACAGCAATATTCATTGCATGGATGGATGGTAGATTTATAAATTTGTAAGATAGATTCTGTCGAGAAAAATCCCTAGAATGACACAGTGAATCAACTTTCCTAGTTTATAATTATAATCTAACCTCCCTAGATACCGTAATAATATGGTTAAGCATTGACCGATGCAACGTTTCGCAATTGCGTGCATCTACAGGCAAAAGCGCCAGCCAGTAAGGGTGGCAACTGCGGAGCATGTAAACAGGTAAATTTCCTGCCTCTAGACCAACAGGTTATTTTCCCGTTGTTTCGTTTATACTAATTAAAGATGTGCAGATAGAGCAGTTGTTAGGGACACAAAATGGGAAAAAAAATGACGAGTCGAGTTCTAATTTCCCTCGACGTCATTACGTTTACCTTCTCAAAATACTCTTGCGATAGGTTCGTCCTGGGTAAGACGATAAACTACATCCGCGTGCTGGGTAAGATGATAAACTACGTCCAACAGCAAGTCCTCTGATCGGGAAGTTTTGAGGAGCATGGAACCACCTTTTAATTGCTGGTGTTCCCAGGTCCACCCTGAGCCAGGCGTCGTAGCACTTGTTATGCGCATATAGTTAGCCTCCAAACTGCGGTCAAACACTGCCAAAGTGTAAAAATATGTTTACCAGCAATAAAGGTTTGAAGAAAAAAGATTATTACCAGAAATATATATATATATATATATATATATATATATATATATATATAAATTAATTGATTTAAAATATGTTTTTTCTCTACACAGTTCTAACCATGTTTCAAAAATGGAAGCTAAAAGCCCCGTATTTAATTTTGTAATTAAATTAAAGACATTAGTTCCATTTCATCCTCAAGCGAATTTTGGAGTAACTTTTAAAATTACTGTGTTTTGAAGACACGGCTAAAATCATAATTCACGTTTCCAAGGTTACAGATAAATCCACTTCCACTAGACAAGGGGTGTCTGCGTGTTCATCATGTCTGTATTTTGATGTATCAGTTATTAGTTACGTCTTGGTAGGGGGTAGGGATGTATTTTTCAGTGAAATCTAACATCCGTTAAATGCATGTCTGAATTTTTAAAAATTTTATTGTTAACGGCAAAAATTCTTACGGCTTTGTTTTCTATTTGTATATTTAAAGATTTTTTGGGGGGGGGGTGTTTAGTTTAGAATACGTTTTATTTAACTACGATTTGAAATATTTTCACATTTAATTTTTAATTTTTAATATACTATATTTCTTTTAAGAACAATTAAATGTAATTAGAATCCCTTACAGTATGTAGAATTATTTTCATATCAAGTATATGTAAATTATTAGGTTACAATTTTTTTTTATATTTAAATATTATTTAAGTAAAATTTATGACAATGACGGCAAAAATAGCTACTTAATTTCACTGATTTAGTAAACTATTATTTTTTTATATAAACCTAGTAATATATTGTTTCTCATGTAAGTACAAAGGATATCTTACTGTTTTTGGAAAAAAATATTACCAGAAATAGATTTTTCAACGAAAAAATATTACCAGCAATACATTTTTGACAAAAATAAAAATTTTGTCGGCATTAAATAACCCATAGAGGTTGATATGTTGTAAAACAAAGAAAACCAAACCAAACTCTTAGGATAGGTATAAATTCATGTCTTCCTCTCCCGGTTGAATAGCAGATTTTATAATTATGGTTGACAACTAGTCTAGGTCAACTCCGAATTAAAACCTTACAGAAGTACGTAGTATAAATCCATGAAGAGGTTACGGAATTCATGGTAACGCTGATCTCAACTTCGGTCGATAATGTAATAAAATAACATTGTGTCGTAAAATTATTTCATATAATTTAAACTTTACAATCTTATATTCGGTAGTGGTCACCAGTAAGTTATTTATACTTGTGCTTTGTTGCCTTGTAAAAGTAACAATGGATGACCAAGCCTATCAGTGAGAGAAAAATAAACAGACTGAAGAGAGAGAGTAAGAGTAAGTAAGTATTAAGATTTGCGAGGGATATATTGACCTGTAAACACATATTAAATGACTGAAGACAACAATGAGAAAAACGAAAACTTGAGTATATCTATCTATCTATCTATCTATCTATCTATCTATCTATCTATCTACTAAATTTAATTTTGTAAAACAAAAATACATTAACAAAAGTAATATTACAGTGAACTAGGCAAAACATAACTTTGCAAGCTCATGTAGAATGTGAGAACAGCGTTGACCTGAGAAGGAGAGTTTCGTTGTCGCTGGAGAGCGTTGTCTTCAGAAGGCCATTTTCCTGGTCGCTGGAGAGCGTTGTCCTGAGAAAGACAGTTTCGAAATCGCTTGATCTGAGAAGGACATTTTCGTGGTCGCTTGATAGCGTTGACCTGAGAAGGATAGATTCCCGGTTGCGGGACAGTGTTGCTCTAAGGACAGTTTAGGAGTTTCCTGGTCGCTTGAGAGCGTTGTCCTGAGAAGGGCAGTTTCCTGATTGCTGGACAGCATTTCTCTGAGGACAGTTTCGAAGTCGCTTGAGAGCATTGACCTGAGAAAGACAGTTTCGTGGTCGCTTGAGAGCGTTGCTCTGAGAAGGACAGTTTCAAAGTCGATTGAGAGCTCTGACCTGAGAAGGACAGTTTCTGGAGAGAATTTTTATGAGACGAAAAGATTCATGATCACTGGAGAGCGTTGTCGTGAGGACAGTTTCGAGGTCGCTGGAGAGCGATGTGTTGAGAATGACAGTTTCGTGGTCATGGAGAGCATTGTGTTGAGAAGGGCAGTTTCGTGGTCACCGGAAAGCGTTGTTCTCAGAAGGATTGTTCCGTGGTCGCTGAAGAGCGTCAACCCAAGAAGGACAGTTTCGTGGTCGCTCGAAACGTTTGTCATGAAATGGACTGCTTCGTGGTTGCTGGAGAGGGATATCATGAGAAGGACTGTTTCGTGGTCTCTGAAGCGCGTTGACTTGAAGACAGTTTCGAGGGAAAGCTAGAGAGCGTTTTTCTGAGTAGGACAGTTTGCTAGAGACCGTTGAGCTGCGAAGGACTGGTTCGTGTTCGATCGATAGCGTTGTGCTGTGATGGACAGTTACATGGTTGCTGAAGGGCGTTGTCCTGAGAAGCACAGTTTCATGGTAGCTGGAGAGCTTTGTCCTAATGACAGTTTCAAGGACGCCGGAGAGCGTTCTGCTGAGAAGGGCCGCTTCATGATCGCTGGAGAGGGTTGTACAGAGAAGGACAATATCGTGGTCGCTAGAGATCGTTGTCCTGAGAAGGTCAGTTTCGTGGTCACTGTAGAGTGTTGTGCTGGACGGTTTCATAATCAGTGGAGATCATTGTCCGAGAAGGACAGTTTCGTTTTCACTGGAGAGCGTTGTCGTGAGAAGGATACTTACGTGGTTGCTATAGATTGTTGTCCCGAGAAGGACAGTTTCGTGATCGCTATAGAGCGTTGTCTTGAGAAGGACAATTTCGTTGCCGATTGAGAGCGTTGGTCTGAGAAGTACAGTTTTATGTTCACTGGTGAGCGTTTTCCTGTGAAGGACAGTTTCGAGGTCAGTTGAGAGCGTTGTCCTCATAATTATAGTTATGAGGGCGTTATAGAGCGTTGTCCTTAGAAGGACAGTTTCGTGGTCGCTGAAGAGCGTCCACACATAAAGGACGGTTTTATGGTCACTGGAGTGCGTTGTCCTTAGAAGGATACTTACGTGGTCGCTATAGAGCGTTGTCTCGAGAAGGACAGTTTGGTGGTCACTGGAGAGTGTTGCCCTGAGAAGGACAGTTTTGTTCTAGCTGCAGAGCGCCTTTCTGAGAAGGACAGTTTTGTGTTCGTTGGAGAGAGTTGTCTTAGGAAGTAAAGCTTCGTTGTTCTGCTGAGTAGCGTAGTTACATGTCCGCCGGAGAGCTTTGTCCTGAGGAAAATTTCGTAGACGCTGGAGATCATTTTCCGAGAATTTTTTCTTGGTCAATGGAGAGCGTTGGGATAAGAAGGATAGTTACGTGATCGAGAAGTCCTGAGAAGGACATCTTTTCTGTTCGCTTGAAAGCGTTGACTTGTGAATGGTATTTTCATGGTCGCTGGACAGTGTTGTCCTGAGAAGGGTAGTTTTTGTTGGGGCGCACCCACTTTCTGACTGATAATGAACTTATCCCTCTACGATATAAGTCAGTGCTCGAGAGAGTAGTTGTGTAGTGTGAAGGATCAGGTTACCATTACATACCGTTGGACTGTAGACTTTTGTTATTGTTACTTACTAACCGGCGTTCCTTATTACTAATCACTCTGTTGTTAATTACCTCTTACAAATATACCAGTATTTATCCCTACAAACTGTGTTTGTCTTTATTCGAATACACACACGCGGGTACACTCCCAACAACTCAACAGTTTTGTGGCAGTTTGAGAGCGTTGTCCTGTGAACGACAGATTCGTGTTCGCTTGAGACCGTTGTCCTGAGCATGACAATTTCTTGTTCGTTGAAGATCGTTGATCTGAGCAGGAAAGTTTCGTGGTCGCTTGAGAGCGTTGTCCTGAGAATGACAGTTTAGTCTTCGCTTAAGAGCGTTGTCCTAAGAAGGTCATTTCTGTGTTCGCTGGAGAGCGTTGTCCTGTCAATGACAATTTTGTGCTCGCTGGATGGCGTTGTCATAAAAAAAAAAGAGAGTTTACTGCATATCGTTGGCAAGGATGACTGGAGCGTGAAGTTTCTTAGATCTGGCTGGAGCGCCAGGCGCTGGAAGTCTACTGGAGATAGGTCTAGCGACAGTCCGAATAATGTAAATAATGTAAGTTATTACAATGCCTCATCTCCGAAATATAGACAGATATAAGTAATAACCTTGGTGATAAATGTCATTGATCTGGTAAAGTGGTTGTATACAGCTGACAGTTTAGACGTCCATTTTAATGTCTCGAGCTGACGTGACGAGGTTTCAGGTTAATGGTAAGATTGGAGTTGCAAAATTCGGTTACGGGAAGATCATGATTTAAAATTCTAGCCTTGAACATCGACCACTTCAGAGGAATGAAATACGCAATGCTTGCAGCCATATAACAGAGCTTAATACTCATGTTTATTATAGATATTTTATTTAAATGTATTATTAATATTATTAGTATCATTATTTTCTTTTTGATATTTGTTATATACACATGCCCGGGCCCCAACCAGAGACTAAAATCAGAAAAATGTTCATGACATCTTCCACTGATACAAAACAAAACAACAACAAAAAAATACTAAAATCATGTAAGCTATGTTTTTGAGTAGAATCTTCTTTTAGCATGGGCTACCAGGAATCCCTTCAGTATGTTTATTGGAACCTTTCCCAATCGATCTGAGTGCTCCAACTACAACTGGAATTATTAATATCCTCATGTATCACATTCTTGAGATTTCCTCTTCAAGATCCTAGTATTTTCGATAGTTTTTTGAAAATCTTCAGATACATTACAATTTGCAGAGATTGCCATGTCAATAAGTAAGCACATTTAATTATTATTATTAATAATAATTTCATTAATATGATTTCAATAAATCTGTATTGGTATTACTCATACCACCACCACCGCCATATCACTACTACTACTAGTACTACTACTACTACAAATTAACACTGATATATTTTTGCTCTTTAATAGAGCTGTAAATAACTAAGCATAAATCATTCGTTGTTTTCCTTTTTCTTATCTCAGCCAATTAGTTTTCATTCATTCCCTAATTACCTCCCTTTGTTTCTTCTACACGCATCAATATCATATCGAGGCAGAGACGAACTCTTTATTGATTAGATATATTAAACGAGATTCCATACTTACTTATGCTACATTCCTTTCATATCGAGTGTCAGTCAGCTTGTTGACCGTTACAGTTTAGACAGTAATTTAAGAAAGAAATTGCAAATATATAACGGCAAATAAGCGTAAAAAAAAACATGAAATTGTTTTATTACTACAATAATTTCACGTTTGTGTCTCGAAGCAACGAAATTTCAGGTTTAATACTGAAAGGAAAATAGAATTAATGAAAATCTCAAAAGAAAAAATCAATGTGTTTTAATGCTTATTTATTTTACCAATAATTAGATATTTTTTTTTAAAAAAAGTTTAAATTATTATTAGCTATTTGTTTCGTGATTTGTATGTTGCCTTCCCACCCCGGCTCCTTGTAAGTGTAATTCCAGAGGCTGGAGGAAGCGAACGTGATTTAACACTGTACGCTCAGTACTATATTCAGGAACCGATCTAATTAATAATTATTTACTATGCTATCGTTGATGATGATTATGCTTTTTTTTTCCTCTTCCTCTTTTAGCATTAAACTATTTTCTCAATTTATTTTTTCTGGTAGTCTTTCACCTTATTTCAAAGTTCTCGTCCAAAATTCTTCTTCCTCTTCCTCTTCTTCTTCTTCGTCGTTGTCGTCGTTCAATTTTCTTCATCTGCTTCCTGTATCTTCTTCAATTTTCTTATTATTATCATTACAATTTTTCTTCTTCTTCTTCTTCTTCTTCTTCTTCTTCTTCTTCTTCTTCTTCTTTTTCTTCTCCTTCTTCTTCTTCGTCGTCGTCGTTCAATTTTCTTCATCTGCTTCCAGTTTCTTCTTCAATTTTCCTATTGTTATCTTTCCAATTTTTTCTTCTTTTTCTTGGAAATCTCCTATTCCTCTTCTTCTTCTTCTTCTTCTTCTTCTTCTTCTTCTTCTTCCAATTTTCATCTCCTTCCCCTTACATTTTTCCTCCTTCTTAGAGTTTCTTCTATTTTTTTCAAAATTTCTCATTATTCTTCCAATATTTTTCTTTCTCTTCCAATTTTCTTCTTACTATTCAAATTTTCTTCTTCTTACAATTTTCCTCATTTTCTTTTTTCTCTTTCTTCATTCACTTTCCGATTGTTCTTCTTCTTCTTCTTCTTCTTCTTCTTCTTCTTCTTCTTCAGATTTTCATCTTCAAATTTTTTCCTTCTTTTTCCAATTTTCTCCTTCTTCTCGTATGGTTTTCCTTTCCTTTTTCTCTTTCTTCATTCAGTTTCCTCCTCTTCAAATTTTCTTCTTCAAATTTTCTCCTTCTTCTTCCACTTTTCTCCATCTTCGTACTATTTTCTTCCTTTTCTTTTTTTCTCTTTCTTCATCCAGTTTGCTCTTCTTCCTTCATTTTTTCCTTCTTTTTATTTTCCTCTTATTTTTCTTCCAATTTTCCTCGTCTTCTTTCTACACTTTTAAGGATTTTTCAAAAATAATAATTATTATTAAATATTCTTTTTGATTTGTGTTAATGAAGGAACTTTACGACAATAACGTTAATTAATTAATATTAAACAATTAATGCAGATGATTATCAGTAAAATGTTGTTTTCGCTGGCATTTTTTTAAAAATATCCCTCGAGTTGAACTGGGAAATATGCAGAAAATCTTAATGTGCCATTTTTATCCGTGCACACGCACGCTGTTAATTATATGCAATCTCATAAAAACTCAAACGGCACCATAACACATCATTAGAATACTGTTTCGGATAATTTGGGAGAGCTGACAAGCGATACCTATCTTGTCTCTGGGGGACATGTGACAAATTGTAGTAGGTTACAAGGGACCAGTATCAGGGTGTATTCTTCGTCTTTGTTAAAGAGCGAGAGGTAAATTCCAGGTGTTAGGTGAAATGATTTTCTCGGTTCGAAGTGAAACTATTTCCTATATTATTCGTTTGATCACGGGGCCGAAAACGTTTTGAACCATCGATCCTTTCATAGATTCCTTGATCCGTAATCAGGTACAAAAATATCAATAATAACTTTCTTTTTTGTTAAATTAAGGGTAGAAATTTACTCTTTTCCTTTGTTTCTCGACCAAATTCATTTTAGCTATCCGTTTGTTATTCCTTTTTCCACTTCTAGATCTCTTCCTATACAAAATGCATTCAATCAAAGACATCGGCCATTTTGTAGACCCCATCTTCTTTCTTATTTAAGTGTGGTAGACTGAAAGATCATTCACAGACACTGTGACATTGGTACGGTTTGGTTTGGTTTGTTTTACGGCATATCAATATCAATGGGTTCTTTTCGGGAGACACGGTGGAGTAATGGATAGCGACTTGGATTGAGAAAACGGAGAGCCGAGTTCGAATTCCAATCGAATCCCTTACGTGTTAATACCCTTGGAAAAGGTATGAATCCTCTTCTTCTGTCCCCAGCTATGGGTAAATAGCAGGACAGACCGGGGTTCTGTAGCCTTGGGAGGCAACTGGTCTACCGCAGAAAGAAATGGCAGCCTACTGCGGGGAACAAAAGTCTGCCTCGTCAATCATGTATCGAAAGATACATGATCGCCTAAGCGTGTATCACGGATGACACATGACTAAATGCCGACAAGATTTTTATTGCTGGTAATATTTTTTCCAAAAGTATTTCTGGTAATATTTTTTCCAAAAAGTATTACTGGTAATAATGTATTGCTGGTAATAATTTTTTATTTAAAAAATTATTTCTGGTAATATTTATTTCTACAAAAATGTATTGCTGGTATTATAACCTATTTTTACACGTTTTTAACACTGTTTGGGGTTAACTATTTGCCCATAGCTGGGACCCTAACAGGTGCTACCACGCCGGGTCAGGGTGGACCTGGAAACACCAGCAATTAAGAGGTGGTACCAAGCTCCTCTAAACCTCCTGATCAGAGCCCTTACTGTCGGATGTCATACCCAGTACACCGTTCGAACGTATCCAAAATATAAGAAGGGAGCTGGGTACGTGCTCATCTTCGTAGGTACCCTATAACCACATCCGGTCATAGGAGTGATGATGATGATGAGTGCTATTTTTTACTTGTGATGTCAGTACTTGTTTATTCCTTCTGAACAAGTGTTTCACTACCTGATGAAATTATTGAAGTCACGGCCACAAGATGATGGGAATACACATTTAACCAACCTGAGGACCTCGGTGGCTTCTTTTCGAAGCCTTTATATTCAGCACCGCATAGTTTTGACGTCTAGTTGTCATAGCAGGCACCGTACCCTTTTGTAAATTATTATCAGCTTGGATATAAATCTTTGACAATCATCAAGATGATGATGGTTCGAATAAAAATATATATTTAAGTAATTCATCGAGTCTAGAAGAAACCTCAACAGAATGTAGAAAGCATTGGACGGCCGTTTTCTCCTACATTTGGGACTCATCAGCAGTGCGCATCCACTACCGAGAATTGAAAGCCTGGCAGTTACATTGAGAAGGCAAACGTCATACCAACTGTTCCAACGGGACTCGGTGACGAAGAGGTAGCGAACTAGACTCGATATTGCCCCGCTCGTTCACATAGAAATGCTAACTTAAACGACAGGATTATTGAACAGTATATATATTTTTAATGTGGAGATTAGACTGAATAATTCATGGAGTAAAGTAAATAGATCATTTCAAGACCTGAAATCAACTCGAGATAGGATAGGATATTAAGTGAAAACGTTAATTAACACTAAGACGGCTATCCACGTCTGAATAATTCATAACAATATTGTCTAGGCTTAATCTTGGATTTTCATCTGAGAAAGATCGGTGCGTACTGGCCGCGATGTCACGGTCGAGAATACAATGAGAAAAATCTAATATGAATAATTATGGAAGTAAGGAAAATATATTTCAGAACGTCAGAAAATAGCTAGGAAGGCCGCAGAACTTGCTACCGAAAAAAAAACATTAAAGAAAACACAAATGATACAAATATTTGTTTGACTAATTAGTTTGAAATACAATCGGTAATCTTATATCAAACTGATCTCCTGAAACTGGGAAATGTGCTTGTCGAAACCTTGTATCAAAAACAACAAAGATATGGATATTAAACTAAATAATAGTTTGAGATGAAGAGAATAGTTACTACACTTTGATCCCAGGATGATGGCTATAGAGCGAAGAAAAGAGTAACTCGAATATCACTGGTTACTTGACCAATGGATGCCGAATGGTTCCTCATAAGTAGCCGGTTAATATTATCATTACCATTTGAGATGAAGAGAACAGTTACTACACTTTGATCCCAGGATGATAGCTATGGAACGAAGAAAAGAGTAACTCGAATATCACTGACTGCTTGGCCAATGAATGCCGAATGGTTCCTCATAAGTAGGCTAATATTATCATTTGAGATGAAGAGAACAGTTACTACACTTTGATTCCAGGATGTTGTCTATAGACCGAAGAAAAGAGTAACTCGTATTATAACTGGATGCTCGATCAATACATGACTAATTTTTCTTCATAAATAAACGGTTAATATTATCATTACCATTTCAAATGAGGAGTTACTACATTTGTTATTTACTCCCCACTCGACATGATATGGCACAAAGCTGGTATAAATTGAAGGGCTCAAGGAAATGCACATGGGCTAAAGCCAGTAATTATCCAATCCCCGCAACTAACAATGCTCTGGTTTTAATATTCTACCTCTTTGGTGCAATGAGGAAGGTGCTGCCACAGTGTTGGAATCACCGGTTCCAGGCATCCTTCAATTATTTTTTGATTGTGTTCTGTCCGAATATAGTTTTTCAGCCAGTAGACAGATCCTACACTTTGATCCCACTTTGATGACTATGGAATGAAGGAAAAACTAACTCGAATAGCACTGGCTTCTCGGTTAATATATGCCGATTAACTACTCAAAAATAATCGTCTAATATTGGTATTGCCATTTGAACCGAGAAGAACAGATACCACTGGGAAATGTGTTGGTCGAAACATCATTGTGCAAAACAATACAGATATAGTTGTTCGTCTGAATTCATTTTAGGAAATAAGGACACCATTCTTAATATATTAGAACGAGCCTCGAAACCAGGGAAATGTGTTTGTCAAGATATCTTGGTAAAAAACAACAAAGATAGAGATACAAATACAAATAAATCCTGAATCATCTACATTTCATTTGCAAAATCTTTGTGGCATATAAAAATGTTTTGTTTAATAAAAACTCGACTGATAGGATGTCTTTCAACTTAAGCCATTTCCGCGTATTTAGTCACAAAAACAAAACTGTGATCAGTTACAGTATTTATCTTAAAAAAAGGGGGGAAAATGGTTTAAGTTTCCCTTCTGCAACCGCTGGTCTCTCCATTTTTAGGTCGGACGTGACATCTTTGATTATCCAACTATATTTCTAGAATCCCAGAACCGAGATAGATATTTTTTTTGTTTCTTTTAAATGCTTTTTATCGCCAAATAAAACTAACCCTTTGTAGTCACGCAACGTAATCAGAACCACATGGAAGAATTACTGTGCCTTTCGGCAGCTCTACTCACAGAATTGTTGATTCATCAAAGATAATGGTGAACAACAATCATCGCTTTTAACGCCAGAAGCATCTAAAATTCAACGATTGACGACAGCAGTTCCTGGAAGAGTTGTTAGAAAGAAAACAAAGTTTGATTTTGTATGTCTAACTCTTTCGTTACTTGAGCTGGACTTCAAGGGACGTTCTCCCATGTCGATGTGGTTTTGGGGTGTGATGTCTGTAAGCTGTCAAGATAGTCTGAGTAAAAAATAGTGTGGCTGGTAGAATTTAATCTGTTAAATTGGCATTTAGTTGCAAGATAAACTCTTTTAAGTAACAATGAAATGAAGTTGACAGATTTCGCGCTGCCTTCTGAGAAATATGTTTTAAAATGGGACTATTTGAGCCGTTTCAGGAGTTTTATTCACGTCAAAATAAAAATTTGACAGCCAACAAGAGAAAATGAAGAACATACGCGAGGTAGTGATCATCGTAGTAAGAATGTGGAAATACACCTCAAGGGTTTTTTTTTTTTTTTTATGTGAATTATCTTTTTATTCGGAATATTGGTTGGAAATGGAATGAGAGTTCGAGCGACGAACAAGTTGCATTATTTCAACAAAAACCAATTACGTCTAATTTATTATTATTTCAAATCAACCAATTAATATTTTAACTCAATCGATCACATCTAATCAATTATTTCAAATCAACCAATCACATCTAATTAATTATTATTTCAAATCAACCAATCACATCTAATCAATTATTATTTCAAATCAACCAATCACATCTAATCAATTATTATTTCAAATCAACCAATCACATATAATCAATTATTATTTAAAGTCAACCAATCATTCGGGTAGCAGAAATCAAAATTTTGGATAACATATGAAATATCCGAATGAAGCATGTAAAATGAAATATATTAAAACTAACTGCACCT